GGGTCACACGTTCGGTTCGAGTCTCATTTAGCGACTCTGGAGCTCAAAACGCGTCTAGAGTTTTGTCCGCCTCCGGCCCACTATAGGCCGGCCGGCCTGCCCTGCAGGCCCTGATTGCAGCGGCCCGATATCGGCGAGTGAGACGCGGGTTCGAATCCCCGCCGCCGCCCGGTTTTATCGCCGTGCCCCGCGGTCTGGATATTTGCGTTTTTGAATCGGTTTTCCAATCGGCTCGCCTTTCCCTTCCCCGTTCGACACTGATTGTGCAACGAAAGTGGTCCACATTGCACACGCTTCCTGCCGGAGCAAGCGCGGCTACAATGGAAGCCGCCGAGCCCCGCCAAGCTCGACAAAGGTCGGAAGGTGAAGTCGAAGTTCGTGACGGACTGCTCCTGCATGCCGCGGGCCTCTCTGGGCCGCGCCCCGAGCGCTACACTGCCAAGCGGCCAGAGACTTGAAATAGCGAGGGTGTCGTGGGGAAAGCACCGCCAAACGGTTGCTGCGAAGTGTTGCTGTCACCTTTCCTTCGGCCGACTGAAGGTCTGGTCTGGGATGGGCCCGGCACCCCGATAGGCCGATGACGACACAATGCACCAATCACGTAACGCTCGTCCTTGAATCCCCGCCCCACAGTGGGCCAGAAGACCGGTGGGGGCGGCCAGAATCCCGGACGCGTTTTGATCTCCATAGTCGCTTAAATGGCCTCAAACTGATCGTGTGACCCCATCAATGGATTCCTCGTTCAGAAAGCAATCCATTGGTGAGGTCACACGATCGGCTCGAGTCCCATTTAGCGACTCTGAGCTCAAAACGCGTCCGGGACATTGTCCACCTCCAACGGTGTTCTGGCCCACGGTGCGCCCGCCCCCTTCATCACAGTGGAGGGTTCATCATTGGTCTGCGCTGTCGTCTGCTGGGCTGCGAATGTTTTGCCTGCGGTTTGCCGCTGCGCCCCGCTATGCGGCAGGTTGCTGCTCTGTCGGTCCCTCTCGCTCTCGTGGGGCGTTTCGCAGGTGCCACGGGGGTGCGAGAGAGACAGTATGGCTCTTCTGCGGTTCGGCCGGGGCCCGCAGACTTGGGTGCGTTTGTTTTGGCTGAAGAAAGAGTTGGGCGGGCCTGGACGGGTCTAGGTTCGTGAGCTATGGGGCCGCAGCCGCGTAGCCTGGCGTAGCCTGGCGTAGCCGCGAACCGTAATGCCAATGGCTGTCTGGCGGGCTCGGGTGTTTGTTGTGCTCTTGCCGGTTATGTCAGCCTGCCTCACCCACCTGAGGCCTCGCCTCGCCCTCCGCCGCCGCGCCGCCGCTTCAGAACGACTGTCGAGGCGCCTTTTAATTGTACGGAGGGAGGGAAAGTGTTTGCCGAAGTCGCTGCCAGAGATGAGCGTCATCCGTCGAAAATAAACGTGGCATTTTTGGTTTAAAAAATTATTATTTTGTGTTTTTAGACTGGGAGGTGTTCTTTATTTTTACAGTGTTGCTTTACGAGGGCGGCCATTAAATGAAGCCTTAGGTGCCGAAGCCCCGGCGGTGCATGACGTGGTTCGACACCCCCCTCCCCCTCCCCCGCCCCGGCTGGGCAAGTGCCCTTCAACGACCCGGACAATGGGGGCGTCACTCTCGCCTGGCTTTGGTATTTGGTGGTTTATCGTGTAGGGACGCGCTGTTGCAGGGTCGTGGGCTAAGGCGCAGCACAGTGGATTTGCCAGAAGACCGGTGGAGGCGGGCAAAACTCTGGACGTGTTTTGAGCTCCAGAGTCGCTAAATGGAACTCGAACCGAACGTGTGACCCCACCAATGGATTGCTCTCCGAACGAGGATTCCATTGGTGGGGTCACACGCTCAGTTCGAGGCCTGTGTAGCGACTCTGGAGCTCAAAACGTGTCTAGAGTTTAGTCCGTCTCCACGGGTCTTCTGGCAAATCCACTGTTCGTAGGCGTCCACCTCCTTGAACCCACAGACCCGCATCATTGTCGTCGCGACCTGCGATTAGCACGCCTGATTGCGCGGCACTGCAAGTACACTCACAGTCGAAATTTTTTTTTTTCTCCAGCGGCATTGTTACGTCACGTAGAAAAAGAAGTGTGCTTGTTAAATCCACTCGAGTTTGTGGCGCAGCACGGGCGGCAACGCTTAGCTCATTACCGTATAATGTGCGTACTTTTGAGCGAGTGTGTACACGAAAGCCGGCCTGGTTATTAGCGGGGCCACGTAGAGCGGCGTGCCTCCCAGCGAAGCCTTTTCCAGCCCTCCAGCCCAGCCGGTGCATTTCCTCATGACAGCCTCTGCAGTGCAGGCCTCATTCGAAATGCCAGCCGGCAACAATTACAAGTGGCGGAGGCGGGCCGAAAAGGCGCCGCCGGCAGCGGGGCTCGAACCCGCGTCCGTCGTGTGCTCCGTCGTGTGCGCCGCGCCCTCGCGTCGTTTAATCCGCGTCGCTGGCGGCTCTGCCCACTCGCTCCTCCGGGCGGATTTAATATCGATGAGTCGACGTTATGTCCCCTTTAAATAACAATCGGTTTGTCACTGCGAAAAATGCGGACGAAATCACGTGTAGTCGGGAGTTTTGAAAAAAGTGGAACGCGGAGCGAGCGAAAAAATGGGTGAAGTATGGGTTGGCCAACGTGACTGGAGTGGAGTTATCCCGCCGGGCATCGATCCAGGAAGTTGGCGTGGGCCGCATGATAGCTCCATAAAGCCTGTCATGTCGTCCTTGTTGTTACAGTATTGTTGTTTGGACGCCCCGCGCCGCCCTGCCCGCCCTGTGTAGGCCCCCTGATAGGCATCCTGCTTGACGGACCGCTGCAGCGCGCTGAGTGCTGAGACAAGTCGAGTCGTTCGTTGCTCTGCGCTGCGTCCCACAGTGGACCAGAAGACCGGTGAAGGCGGCCAAAATTCTAGACGCGTTTTGAGCTCCAGAGTCGCTAAATGAGACTAGAACCGAACGTGTGACCCCACCAATGGATTGCTCTCCGAACGAGGAATCGATTGGTGGGGTCACACGTTCGATTCGAGGCCTGTTTAGCGACTCTGGAGCTCAAAACGCGTCTAGAGTTTTGGCCGCCCCCACCGGTCTTCTGGCCCACTGTGCTGCGCCCGCGCCTCGCGCCTGACGAGGCCTTTCTTCGGGTAAATTGGAGATTCCCGATAAAAGGCGTTGATTGTACAATGCCGGAACGGGACCCGCTTGGCTTTGAAGTCTCCGTTGATCCTGATGCACAGCTTGGGCTGCGCCAGGCTGCGCTGCGGGTGGAGGGAGGCCGTCGTCCTGGACCCGCGGCCACTTTGGAGCCCTCGTCGGGACTCGGCGTTGCCGTTTTTCGCCTGCTTTTCTGGTTGCCAACGCCGAGGCGCCGAGCGGCAGTGCGGGCACGGCAGCTGGAGCTGGAGTGCCTTTCCTATGCGACACCGCCTGAATGCGAAACGAGCCGCCCCGCCCCACCCCGCCCCGCCCCGCCCCGCCCCGCCCCGCCCCGCCCCGCCCCGCATCCGACTCCCTGGACCCCTCCAGGACCCCCAGGATCGCCTCCTCGGCCACTGCGGTCCAATGCGCTGCGTCTGGGCCTTCCCTTCACACCTTTCTTCCCCTTTTAGGCCTCTTCCCTCTCTCTCTCTCTCTGTGGCAGCTGGCGCCTCTCCTCGTCACGCGAACGCGTCGCGGCGTGGCGTTTGGCGCCGGTTTCGTCCCTGAATCGCCTCCCCCCTCTCTCTCTCCGCGCATGACGTGTCGGTGTTGGAATAGGTGTGCCGCCGTGCCGCCGTGCCGGCCCACTCGCATGGCCGGAAGGGGAAATATGAGTCGGTTCGCGTGGCCGTGCCTCGCCACGCCACGCCACTGCAGTGTGGCGGCTGCCCCAGTGTGGTGGCCGCTGCGAGGCGTTTAGTCGCCGGCAGCATTTGTTGTTTGAGTCCCTCGGTGTTGGGATGCTTTCATGCTTTGCCGCTGCAGACTGCCCTTGGCACTGAGTGGGTGGCTCGCTTCCCCGCGGTGCACTGTGCACTGCACAGTGGGCCAGAAGACCGGTGGAGGCGGACAAAACTCTGGACGCGTTTTGAGCTCCAGAGTCACTGAACAGGCCTCGAACTGAACGTGTGACCCCACCAATGTAATCCTCGTTCGGAGAGCAATCCATTGGTGGGATCACACGTTAGGTTCGAGTCTCATTTAGCGACTCTGGAGCTCAAAACGCGTGTAGAATTTTGGTAGCTCCAGCGGTCTTTTGGCCCACTGTGCACTGCACTCACCCACGCCCTACAGTACTCCGTCGCTCTTCTGGCGGAGCGACCCATGAGTGCGAGAGAGACAGACTGGGCTACGAAAGCAGTGTTTGGCGGAGCGCCTGCGGCGTGCGGGGTAGGCAGGCCCGCGGCGCAGGCGCGTTCGACGGCACGGCCTGCCTCGGCACCTGCCAGGCTGCAGGTAGGCAGGCCCGCCGCGCAGGAGTGCTCGGCGGCACGGCCTACCCTGCCGGGCGCTCCATTACCATTTCCATTAGAGGCTAGACCACACATGATCGTGCTCCACCGACCCGACAGAAACAAAATTGAACTGTTAATCGAGAATCTGCAAACGAGCGAGAAAATGAGTTGTTGAGGCTGCCGGCCTGCTAGTCAAAACTAATAGCAGTGCTTGTCGATGAACGCGTCGCCGTCTGCACTGTGCCAATGCAACGCCGGTCGGCCACTGCACCTCGCTGTCTGTCTGTCTGTCTGTCTGTCTGTCTGTCTGTGGTTTGCAATTATGGCGCTGAAAGTGTGGCGCGCGGCGTCAGCGTGTTGGCTGGAAATGTGTGTTACTGTCCCCTGCCGGGGCCTCGGCCGGGGCGGCGGGGGCCTCGTTTGCAAGCCGCGACACAGATCCGCGATTCCAGGTCAGGTGTCTGTCTGCGTGTCGCGTACGTCGCCGGGCTCGGGTTCGAATCCCGGCTCGTTTGCGGCTGCAACAAGAGATTTTCGCTGTATATAGTGAGTGGTGTTTTAATGTAACGTTAATGTGTGTTGCAGCCGATGAGCCCCCCGGTGTGCTGACCAGCTGCGGCTGCAGTCCTGCAGTCTTTGAGACCCGCTGCTGCCCGCACGATGAAAATGGTGTTGTCACAACGTCAGCGCGAGGAGCTGTGAGTATTTTTTTTGTTGTTGTGTTACTTTGAATTCGCTACTGTACTGTGCGCGTCGAGGTTTTCTGACTTGAAATGCGGTAGTCGTATTCCGTGGCTTCCTATCCGCCGCTTTCTCTGGTGCCGAGTGCAGGTGCAGGCGACGACGGCTGTCGTGGTGTCGCTCGCGGTCGCCGGACAGGTGTTTGTGTGTGTGTGCCATGGCGCACATGCACACACGCAGACAGCCGGGCGTTCCGCTAGCAGGGTCACGCCGCACAGTGGGCCAGAAGACTGGTGGAGGCGGCCAAAGACGCGTTTTGAGCTCCAGAGTCGCTAAATGGGACTCGAACCGACCGTGTGACCCCACCAATGGCTTCCTCGTTCGAAGATAAATCCATTGGTGGGGTCACACTTTCGGTTTGAGTCCCGTTCAGCGACTCTGGAGCTCAAAACGCGCCTAGAGTTCTGGCCGCCTCCACCGGTCTTCTGGCCCACTGTGCGCCGCCACGCTGCCGGGCCCGGCGGACAGCACAGTGGGAATACGTGCTGCGGCAGATGCTTGGGCAGATGCACGAGACGGGCGCAACCAGGAAATCGGAAAGGGAAAGAAGTTTCTGTTGCTGAAAGAAGCGTGTGTGTGCGTCTGGCGCTGCGTGTCTGTCTGTCTGTCTGTCTGTCTGTCTGTCTGTCTGTCTGTCTGTCTGTCTGCCCGCCGGCAGTGTAAATTGGGAGCGGAGAGTGGAGGGGGAAGGGCGGTCTCTATTCGCGACCGACGTCAACGCATAGGTCAAGGCCGGGGGACGTCGCTTCGCGACCGGGACCTGCTGGGCTAACTGGATCGGGGTGAGTGCCGCGCCACTGCTACCCCTGCACTGCAGTGTGGTTCCGCACCCCGTCGCTCTGTCTCTCTCGCTCCCATGCGGGGCATGCGGGGCGGCCCGTGAGTGCGAGGGAGACAGCAGCGAGAGCGCTGTTTGTCCCGAAGCTTGGCGCAGCCTCCAGGGCCCCCTCAGACTCTGTTAGCGTCCCTTTTACGCAGCCCTGCCACGCCCCCGTGGACGTGGACGCGGTGTGCGGTGCGCGGGGCGGGTTGCTAGGGTCGCGACGACCTTGGCGTTGCCGGAGAGGCCCGGGCCGCGCCGTGGCCGTGATGCGGCCCATGCGGGGGTGCGCTGCTGGGACTCGGTACTGACGTCAGCGGGTGGACGTGCTCGGGGTGTGGCAGTATGGCGCGGAGGGAGAGAGAGAGAAGACTCTCAGAGGACTCTCCAGGGGTGGGAACTTGGTTTCGGTCCGGGGCCCGCAGCCCGCAGCGCGCAGCCTCACTGCGGAGAGGAAGGATTTTACGTTCCTGGAGTTTCCTTCCGCCCGTAGGTTCGTGCCGCCGCTTGGCGCACGTGTGGTGCCCGCCTGCCTGTCGGTCCGCCTCGCGTACCTTCCTCATAAAAAAGTTGGTGGCCCGGTGGGCCCTGCGGTGGCAGTCCCCGCCCACGGCGGCCTGGCCCCCGGCCTTGCCCCTCACGGCGCCCGTTCGATGCGGCGCCCGGGCTACCCTTGGCGCCGATCAGCGAGGCCGCGGCCATCGGTGCCGTCCGCGCCCACGGCCTTGTTGGAGGCAAAAGTGCGTGCCGTATCTCGCGCGGCCTTGCGGGGCGTGGCGGCGTGGCGCCGGCCGGATGGGGGCGGCGGCGTCTCCGCGTCGACGGCGTCGTCGTCGCCTGGCGCTGCGTCGCGCTGCGGGGCGAGCATGGAGGCGGGGTGACGTGGCGTCTGGCGGCCAGGGTCGCCCGGTCGATAGCCGCCCAGCCGCGCCGGGACCACGCCGTTGGCGGCCGTCGGTGGCCGTCGGTGCGTGCGTGTTTTCGTCGTCGGCCAGGCGGTGGCGGTCGACGCCGTGCTGGCCGTGGTGGCGGTCGTCGCCGTGTTGGCGGGCAGGGCGGCCGGGCCCCGGCCCGTGTTTTGCAGGACGCTCGCCGCCTTGGGATTCATTTATGCGCGAACTTGAACCAGTTGGCGGCCCCTATCGCCGCGCCACGGCCACGGCCTGCCCGGCCTGCACGGCCAGCACGCTCTGCTCGATAAGCGGCTGCGAGGGGGCCACCACTCTCATTTCAGGCGTACACAAGATTACGGGATTACGGGATTACGGGATTACGGGATATTTACTGGGGGTTACGCGTGAAATTTTCGAAAATTGGTTCGAAAACGTTGAAAAATAGCTCAAAAACGTTGAAAAATGACTAAAAACGGTGAAAAATGACAGAATTTTGTCAAGGATTACGTGATTACGCCATGGATTACCAGAGATTACCAGCCAATTTGTACACAGGATTACGGGGGTGGTGGCCCCCTCGAGCGGCTGGCTGCTCGGGCTGGCCGCCTGGGCTCAGCCTGGGTTTGCCCTGTGGAGTGCGGAGAACGTAAACGCTCACCGGGGGCTGTGGCGGTCGCCTTGCCTACCCCGTGGCCCTGCCGTTGGCGTGTTGCCGTGCCCTGATGCCCCGGCGGCCTGGCACGCGGCGGGGCGGCAGCGCGATAGGGGTGGACATGTACCCCTGCCTGGCGGAGGGGGAGCTTTTAATTGGCTGCTCACGGCGTGGAGCGTGGTTGCGTGCGTCCAATCACGCTGTCGAGGCTGCCTGACTGACTTCCCGCCTGCCCGCCTGCCCGCCTGCCTGCCTGCCCGCCCGCCCGCGAGCTTTTACCCGTTTAGGCCCAGCCCGACGTACGTAGACTGATTCCACGTCGGTCGGTCTCTCTCGCACCCATTCGCCCCATGAGTGAGAGAGAGACAGCGGGGCTCCCCCCGCGGAATGGGCCCGGCGCTGACCTTTGCCGTTTTCCCTTTTGAGGACGACGGACGGCGAAGTGCGGGGGCGGGTCGGCCGGTCGGTGTGTCGGACCGTGCCCGTCTAGCCGGGTGTACTAACCCGTAAAGCGCGCGGCGCGCGGCGCAACTAAGCTAATTTGCATGGCGCGGTGTTTGTGTTTATCGCTGCATCCGCCAGTGTGGTGTGGCCAGAGGGCGTGCGCGGAAAACGCACCGCGACCGTGCGTGCAGCGCGTGCAGCGCACAGTGGGCCAGAAGACCGGTGGAGGCGGTCAAAACTCTACACGCGTTTTGCGCTCCTGCGTCGCTAAATGGGACTCGAATGGAACGTGTGACCCCACCAATGGATTGCTCTCCGAACGAGGAATCCATTGGTGGGGTCATACGCTCGGTTCGAGTCCTGCTTAGCGACTCTGGAGCTCAAAACGCGTCTAGAGTTTTGGCCGCCTCCACCGGTCTTCTGGCCCCTTGTGCAGCGTGCACCGCCTTGTGTTGCCTTTTGCGCAGAGTGTACCGACCGGGCGGGGCGGCGCGGCGGCAAGGCGGTGCGAGCTGGCTTGGGGTGTAAAGTGCATTTTGTGTTGCCGGAGTCGTAAATAGGGGCGCTCGCTCGCTGCTCGGAGCGTAGGTCCCCACGCCCGTGCTACGCCGCTACGCCGCTACGCCCTACACTGCCAAAGCCGCTCGCTGCTGCCACCGGCTGGGAGGAGGAGGGGGAGGGAGGACGCGGCCTGCACCTTCCTTCCCAGTGGCGTGGCCTCGCCGCGCGGTGTCTCCGCCAGCATGTTGCTGTGTGCACGGCGTGCACGGCATGCCCCGTTTTTCGATTCGCACGCTCCGCAGTCGCTTGCACCTCGGCCGGGCTCCGTGTGCTTCCTTTTCGGCGTTTTGGGGCGGCCCGGGGCCCGGCCCGGTGGAGGGGGGCGTGAGCGCGGTGCCCCGCCTTTTCTCATCAACGGCCAAATTTGGCTGCCGTCTCTCCTTTTGCGTCGCAGCGTGGCGCAGCCTCGCCCTCGCCCCGTTGGCGCCGTTGGCCCGGTCCGTGTCCCGGACTCCTGGACCCAGTTAGGAACGTCACGCGGGACGCCCTGGAGAAAAAGTTGCCCTTTTCCTGTTGTTTTCCATTTTCCCCCTGGCTGTGTGCTTTGGTTCTCCGCGTGCGCCACCAGCAGGTGCTTTGGTGCCGTCTGTCTCTCTCGCACCCCGACAACCCGCCGCTGCGCGCACGCGTGCTACAGAGAGGGCGCGACGAGGCCGCGGTTCGGAGCCAGCCCCGGCCAGCGCGCTCTAAGTGCGTCCGAGCGTTATCTAGCGGCGGAGGACCCCCAGGGGCCGGACGGCCGGACAGGCTGACTGGATTTACTTAGTCGATTAGGCCGCTTCCTTTGGAGTCCTTGGCGCGGCCCGATGGCCCCGATGGCGTCCCTGACCGCTATTCTAGCTCCAGCCTTCTCTCCCCCCCTCCCCCCGCACCATGTAATCCTCGCGCAGCCAGACGTAAGTACAGGCCATTGGCCAGAGCCCAGGCCTCACCGTGAATTATGGACGCGGAGTGTCACTGGCCACCAGCGCCCCGTATATCGGCATCAGCCGTCGCACCGTGTCCACTCCCCACCTCACTCTTCACTTCCCACATCACTCTCCACTTCCACATCACTCTCCACTTCCACATCACTTTCCACTCCCCACCTCACTCCCCACTACTCCCACCTCATCCCCACTCACTCCCCCCCTCACTCCCCACCTCACTCCCCACCTCATCCCCACCTCACTCCCCACCTCACTCCCCACCTCACTCCCCACCTCACTCCCCACCTAACTCCCCACCTCACTCCCCACCTCACTCCCCACCTCACTCCCCACCTCACTCTCCACCTCACTCTCCACCTCACTCTCCATTTACTCCTCCACTGGCTGTCTCTGCTCTTCCCATTCTAGACTTGGCTCGCGGCTGCTCCGCGCAAGACGCGTCTTGGAATGCAAGGTCACTCTGCACTGGATGCCTGCGGGCCGGTCGCTCGCTCTGTCTCTCTCGCACTCGCGGAGCGTCTCGCGTACAGGCGCGAGAGAGACAGAGCGACAGAGCACTGTTCGGTTCGGCCTGCAGCCAGTGCAGCCAATGCCTGGCTTGGTGGTGCAGGTCGGTCCCGGACTTGTCTGGGCTCGCCGCACCGTACAAAAAAACAACAACAACATAAATGTAAAACAAGAGCAACAAAACCGCCGTTGCTGTACGGTCGTTCCCCCGCCGCCTTTGTTTGTGTTGTTGTTGTTTTGGTCCTGGGCTGCCTTTGTGGCCTGTACTTGTGCGTGCCTCGCGGGCATAACTCGCGAGTCGATGCGACGACAAGCTGCCATTGGCAGACTGGCTGCGCGTCATCGACTTCAGGAAGGCTGTCTTTGGACCGCGCGGCGCGCCACTGGCAGGACTGCCACGCCACTGGCAGGGCATGCAGCGGCATTACGCGGTGCTTCTTGTCGGCCCGCCATGCGACATACTGCCACTGAGCGAGGAGTTCGGCGCTTTGGCGGTGACCCTGTGTGGTGTTGGAGCCTTGAAATGGATGGCGACTCGGAATGGACGTCACAGCCACAGTGTGCCAGTGTCGGCACGGACCGCTCATGCTGATGTGCGCGCCACTGCGTCAGAGCCAAAGCGCGAGCGTATCAAGGAGGCAGGCCTTGCGCCGCACAGTGGGCCAGAAGACCGGTGGAGGCGGACAAAACTCTAGACGCGTTTTGAGCTCCAGAGTCGCTAAATGGGACTCGAACCGAAGGTGTGACCCCACCAATGGATCCCTCGTTCGGTGAGCAATTCATTGGTGGGGTCACACGCTCGGTTCGAGTCCCTTTTAGCGACTCTGGAGCTCAAATCGCGTCTAGAGTTTTGGCCGCCTGCGCCGGTCTTCTGGCCCACTGTGCGCCGCCTTGCGCGACAAAGTGCTTTTTGGCGAGGGGGAGGGGGAGGGGCTGGAGGTCGCCACTAGAAGACTGCGCGGCGGCGGCCCGGCGGCGCCGAGGCCGAGGCACCATGTGACGAAGACGAACTGTTAATTTGGCGACGGGTCTTGAGGTTGGTGACGTGGTCGCTCCGCTGCCGCAGCATCTTCCAGTGGGGAAGGCTCCGTCTTGCTGGGCGAAGTCGACGTGCCGGGTTCGCCTCCCCACGCCTCTGCTTTTCCTTCCCCCCTGCGTCGCCACCATGGAGAGGGCCGTCCAAATGTCAGGAAATGCCAGAGGGGAAGGCCGAGCGTTGGGGTGTCTGCTGTACCCCGTTTTCGGCCCCCCGAGGGGACTCCACTGTGCTGAAGCTAAATCTAAGGTGCGTCTGTTTGTCTGTCTCCAGGAACAAGGCGGTGGCTGACTACCTGAGCAGCAATGGCTACATGGAGGCGCTGGAGGCCTTCAAGCGGGATGCAGACATGCCCGGCGAAGTGGAGCGGAAGTACGGCGGCCTGCTGGAGAAGAAGTGGACGTCGGTCATCCGCCTCCAGAAGAAAGTGATGGAGCTCGAGTCGAAGCTGTCGGAGGCCGAGAAGGAGTTCATCGAAGGCGCCCCCACCAGAGGGAAGCGCTCGCCCGCCGAGTGGATCCCCAGGCCGCCCGAGAAGCACTGCCTCACCGGGCACCGCTCCCCCGTCACCAAGGTCATCTTCCACCCCGTGTTCAGCCTCATGGTCTCCGCCAGCGAGGACGCCACGCTCAAGGTGTGGGACTTCGAGACGGGCGAGTACGAGCGGACGCTCAAGGGACACACAGACTCTGTACAGGACATCGCCTTCGACCAGACGGGCAAGCTGCTGGGTAAGTAGCCCGTGGGCAAGCCCCTGGGCGACCTGCACTGGAGGCCAAACCATGTGTCTGTGGGTGATTGATTTGTTTCATTTTTTTTTGTCTGAACAGTGTCGTGCAGTGCGGACATGTCCATCAAACTGTGGGACTTCCAGCAGTCGTATGCCTGCCTGAAGACAATGCATGGCCACGACCACAATGTATCCAGTGTCACCTTCATGCCTGGTGGGGACTTTATAGTGTCTTCGTCAAGAGACAAGACAATAAAAATGTGGGAGGTGGCAAATGGGTAAGAGTCTATTCAAATCAAATCAAATCAATTTATTTGTACCAACTTGCAACAGTAATGTACAACATCATGTTATATACAGGAGAATAAATAGGTGTTGAAACACAAGTACAGAGAGAATAAATAGGGAAACACAAGTACAAAAAGGGAACAATCAGAGATCACTTGTTAGGTACAGCTCCTTATCAATAAGGTAGTTTTTAAGGGATCTTTTGAACAATTGGGGATCGTTGGGACCTTGTCGTTTGTTTTCTTAGAAGTACGTCATGTTGAATGATTATCTCTGTTCCAGATACTGCGTGAAGACTTTCACAGGCCACCGAGAATGGGTGCGGCTTGTGCGAGTTTACCAGGACGGCTCCCTGTTAGCCTCCTGTTCGAATGACCAAACTGTCAGAGTTTGGGTTGTAGCAACCAAGGAGTGTAAGGTAAGCCATTGCTGTAGTTTTCAATGATTTTACAACATTAGTTTGTTCTTGTTGAAATTTTGTCGATGTCATGTTGCGGTTTGGTTTTAGGTGGAACTGAGAGACCATGACCATGTAGTGGAATGTATTGCGTGGGCACCTGAGTCTGCTCATTCGGCCATAAATGAGGCAGCGGGTGCGGACAACAAGAAGGGTGCCTACCAGGGACCGTTCCTTGTCTCTGGATCACGAGACAAAACCATCAAGGTAAGATGGATTTTGTACATTTGTCACGTCTGTCTCTTTTTAGAATTTATAAAACTGATGAATAAATTTTGTTTCCTCAGCTGTGGGATGTTAGCACAGGTATGTGCCTTGTCACACTGCTTGGGCATGATAACTGGGTGCGAGGAGTAGTATTCCACCCTGGTGGAAAGTACCTTGTAAGTGCATCAGATGACAAGACTCTGAGGGTGTGGGATCTCCGCAACAAGCGTTGCTCTAAAAAGCTTGATGCTCATCAACATTTTTGCACATCTGTTGGTAAGTTGAACGTGCTTAGTCTTTTATGTTGCTCTGGTTCATATTCTTGAATTTCATAATTTCTTTTTGTCGCAGATTTCCACAAAACTCATCCCTATGTGGTAACTGGTAGTGTTGACCAAACAGTAAAAGTGTGGGAATGCCGCTAAAGACCATCTCCGAGTAACTCTGCAGGCTTCCTGCCATGTCAATCTTGTTGTAATTATTATTTACTTATCATGCAGTCCATCTGTGTTTCAACTAATTTATACATCAGATATTTTATAATATGTTTACTTTTGTGTCCCCCCTCCCCTTTCCTCCCTGCCTACGTGCAACAACTGTTCAAGTGTGTATGGATGTGTGTGTGTAAGTATGTATGTAATGTATGTATGAGTTTTAGTATGTTTGTGTGAATGTTGCTTAAGCAGCATGTATAGGTACTGATGGGCACGTGGACAGAAAACAAACCAGTGATCTATCTTTTATTATTTTTTGTTTCAATCTTGGAAAAATGCATTATGTACATAATGACTTCAACCTCTATCCACTTAAAAATGTTGACTCAAAATTATGATTATTAAATGCTGTATTTGTGAAATAATGATTCTAAAGTTGTGGCTTGTATGTACATGGTATGGAATGTAAATTAAGTAATTGATGTGCTTTCTTAAAGTTGATGGAAGCGAAAGGTTCCATTGTTTAAAAAATTATGGGAACCATTGCTATGTACTTTGATATCGTTTTAAAGTATAAACAATGACTTCATGCCTCCTTTTTCTTTTCCTGCACACTTGTGGTAGAAATGTAGATTATGGTTGTCAAACTGAATGGGTTTGATGTGCAGTGTTTGCCCCTTGTCTCTCAACAGATATGTGTTCTCTGCTTTGAGATGATGTGCAACCATATAATTTGCTGTTACAGTATCTTCTATGCTTTGCAAACATTTTTCACCTTTATTTCCCAGCATCTGCTTGAGGAAAAGTGATATTGAGGCTAATTTATACATTTAGACATACAAATTTTGTGAGTGTCATTTGTGGCATGAGTGACAGATTTGTTTAAATCCATACCCAGAATGAAGAAAACCAAAACAAAAAATCGGAACTTGTGAAATAAAGCTTAGTTCTCCAGTACTTAGTCCAGTTTTGTTTTATTTAGAACAGATTTTCCCTAAATACACTACACCAGACTCCACTTAACAAATTTAAACAGCTCTTATAAGGGTTAAATTAAAACTGAGGGTGCAGATAGAAACTTCATCAATTATATAGAGTCAACAATGACTCCTAGATTTATGCACATTTGCTTTATTTGGTCATTGTCCATATGTTCTGACTCATATATGGCATTAGCAATAGCAATTGTTTCTTTTGTACTCCTGGCCTTAATCCATACTTTACCATTCATACCAAAAGCACATTCATAAGGCCACTTTTGACCTAGGGCCTTTAAAAGGGGACAGCTAACAGACAGGAGTTTTCGGATTAGGTTTAAACTACAAGTGATAAGGAAACCATCTTCTAATTTTCCTAACTTGTTGGCTTTACCATGGGCATCAACACAGACCAATTCTGGTTCCATGTCACGTCCTGCTGTAGAAAGCTTGGCATATACAACGTCTCCAACCTGCAAAACAAAAATTAATTGATTCTTCCATTTAACGAGATCATGCTCATTATAGTGTGGTTGAAAACTTTAAGAGGGAAGTGAGGTTTTGAAAAAATATTATGGGGAAACCAACAAACCTGGATGTTGGGTCGGTTTTTCTTCGTGGCATGTTCGAAGTCTAGATATGACAAGGATGCCGACACACTTGCACCAATGTCAACCCTGAAAATGTCGCTGCCTGCATTGGTCACCACACCCACAACATGCTCGTCTTTGACGGGGATGTACCGCTTCTGGTAAGCTTCCACAACAAACACATTGTTCTTGGGCATCCTTAGGACCCCGGACCTGCTGGCCACCACCTGCCCGCCCTCCCGCCGCAGTCCTGGGCCCAGCACCACTTTGAGGGCATCGTTAGTTCGCAGAGCACTCGTGACATCGTCACCGGGCAACACAGTGTCTCCTGTTCGGAGCGAAGGGCTTTCTGTGGGAATCATTTCCGATGTGCGGTTGAAGACTTAACCAAACAAAATCGTGGGCTGACTGTCTGCACTGCACGAAGTAAACAAACACGGCACTATTCGCACCGTGAGGCGCTGGTGATGTTTCATACCGCGGCCGGTAGATGGCACCACCGCCGGAACTGCATTTAGATTGAGATTGGGCATTGAGCGCGCGAAGGTTTGAATGACTCTTGAGGATCATTTGGAGGGCCATCCAGCCTCGAAACAATCCTTTTCTGGCGAAAACCTGGAACTATTCGTGCATGTGTCCAACTGAATGTTCTACCGAAACTTTTACTAGGATCGGATTTCAGAAGGAAACTGTCCACATGATCCCAGCAATTGTGCTCGTATGAGTCAATTAGATCTGGTTTCTGCTTTGCAATGGAAGTATGTTCATGTGTATTTGGAATGAGAGATGGGCCCAGTAATACTCTAGACATTGCAAGGTCTGCGGCTGTGCCTCACTCAAACACGCAATTCGTCCATCTTCTCTGGCCCCTAAATTCATTGCTTGTTAAGGTTTAATAAATAAATGCAAAGTAGGTTTTAAAACATTTTTAGTTTCTGCGTAATAGAAACAATATACATTGTAAGACCCCTTCAAAAAGGATCACATTTTAAGTTATTTCACTCAAAATAAAAAATAAATACAAAATAAAAATAATTACAGAGGCTTACCAGTTTTATCTACAAAAAATATGTAGTTACATTAGATTAAGGATATCTACAAGAATTTCTTTTCCTTCCCAATACATACAAAAATTACATGGCTTCACATACTATTCACATTAGCGCTGAATCGTTTTGTACAATGTACAAGTCTACATTTGTAAAAAATGTCCATGTGTGTTATACAACACACTAAGTCATATTACTTCACTCTATTAACACTACTAGTAAATCACAAAATTTTAAAGTTTATTATTTTACTTACTTAATTTCTAATTCATGTAACAAATTCATTTAAGCAAAAAACAAAGAAAGAAAAAAAAACAACAGAATTTATAAAAAAAAAACAAAAAAAAAAAAAAACAAACAAACAAGGAACCTTCATTGGATCTAATAATGACATGGTACAGTTGTAAATTGAACTCTCTCGAAGGCATTTTGGCCCAATAAGTCAGAAAGAAGCCTTACTCTTTGTTGCCGAGCAGGAGCCTCAACAATGGAAAGACCAGTAGTAATGCGACAAAACACTTACGTCAGATCAAAATGAAAGAACAATAAATTAAATAGGGAATGCCACATTGATGATACGTTTCATTATCGAGGATAAATTTTCCTACTACAAGACTTAAATTAAAAATATTCAAGAGTCAAATCAACAATCTGCAGTAGGATAAATAAATAACAATGTTTACAGTCAACCCGACCTGATAAAGAAAACCTTTTTCAATCCATAACAAATTAAATGAGTATTTCATCCATATGCTTCATGAAGGCAGTACAAAATTTGCACATGGCAATGAAGTAAACAATTCACTAGACATCCAAGCAAAATGTTAGCAGACTTTCAATTTTAATCACAGTTGAATTTAGTGGCAATGGGAGCCTATCAAAGCCACCAACACATGTTGCCACACATTCTCTAATTTTCGTGCACAAAGTACGTATAGAAGAGGTTTCATTCTGTCAACACATAGAGAAAGGCAGCACCTATGCACAATTTAAGAGTGTCTAGCAGACGTACTGTTTGGCTACGTAATCATTTCTAAGGCGGAGACAAAACAACAATTACCTCATATTGCCAGTAGATTCATTCACACATACCTCATAAATTCAACATTTTTATAATACTTTGTTAATTTTTACTGTTCTCTACTTTATACAATATTCATAACTCATAGATCTTTACAGTAGAAACATTTTAATACAGTTATTACAATATTTATGTGAAACATACACGTTATACTCATTTACTAATAAATATATTTTATAGTTTGAATGTCTATGTAAAGTTATACAATAGCTGAGATCACTCAATGAACAGTAAAAACAACAACAAAAGCGGTGATTTGGTCACTAGATGAAGAGCTGATGCACTTCAAGTCATTTCTAAATTAAATCACTGGTGTATTCATTCCACCAAATTTATACAGTCCTGAACCCATCACCTTCAAATGGTGACTGTGGGGTTGTTCGTATCAATTCATTCAACAATAACAAAAGAAAAAGTTCATAAATTGTTTAGACTTCATTGAGAGCATTACATCAACAATGAGCAGTTGATGCCTCCGACTCATTCAAACTAGTCTAAGGTTTACAAGTCACCAGACAACAAGGAAATGTTATTGCACAAAGAACCAAGTGGCACTTCATAACAAATTTTTAAAAAAGTCATAAAAAGAACATCCTTGATCAGTAACACACCTTTGCTGCAAAGCTAGTACATCATCAAATATTGAGTTTCAGATCCATTTCTAGTCTTTGTGTCAAACACTTCTGAAATCAGTTGATTTTGATGAGTCAGTCAAGTCAAACCAATGAAAATGCAGGCATCTATTCATATGTGACTAGTTCAGCTAAAGAGCAAGCGTTTCATTTTCTCTAGACATAATACAAATAACAACACTTATACAGCCTTAACCCAAAACATAACATGATAAAGTAATCTTGGGCAATTCTTAAAAAAACACAATAAACACATAGTCGAAAATTATTAAAGCATGAACAGCGCAGACTTCCCTTACAAAACCCAAGACCACCACTTGCGCTCCATTTTGTACTGAAAATCTGACACTCTCTGGCAGCTTTCGCTGTCTGACCTACATTACTTTAGCACCAAGAGCAAAGGCAACATCACAGATTTCTCCCCACAGAGGTCCCTCCCTCCCTCGTGCCTCACCGCGGCTGGGTGGCTGGCTCCTCCTTCTTGTGCAGGTCCACGACGAGCGGCCCGCCCGCCGGCCCCTGCGGCCCTCCCGGCGGCGTGGGTGTCGTCATCTTGAGGGGCAGGGACTGGTGAGGCGGGTGGGACGGGTGCGGCGGGTGGGGCGCACCGGGGGCGGGCAGCCCCGGCGGCAGCCCCGACGGCAGCCCCGCGTTCAGCCCTGGCGGCAGCCCCGGCAGCGACGGCCTGTGGTGGAACTGGTGGTTGTTGAGCATGGGGCCGGGGGGGCTGGGGTCCTTGGCGCGGAGGTGCGCCATGGGGTCGGGCCCGGCCACGCCCACGCCGCCGCGGTACTGGCCGTACAGCTTAGCGCGCTGCTCCTCCTCCTGCATGGCGGCGGCCGCCGACATGGCCGCCATGGGGTACTGCAGGCCGCGCATCGGGTCGAACCTGCTGTAGGCCTCCCGGTAGGGGTCGGGCCCCGGCCACATGCCGCCGGGGTGCGCGTAGGCGCCGGGGTGCGGGGGCAGCGAGCGTCGCGACGGGTCCAGCATGGGCAGCCGCGACAGGAAGTAGGGTTGCACGCCGCCCACGCCGCCCGCCCGCGACAGCATGGCCAGCTCCTCCTCCTTGATGTCCTTGCGGTCCGCGGGCTCGGTGGGCGTGCCGTTGCGGATGGGCGACCGGTCGCGGCCCTTGCTCTCCGCCGCCAGCCGCGCCTGGTGCTGGTGCTGGGCCTGGGCCTGGGCCTGCGCCTGGGCCTGCGCCTGCAGGTGCTGCTGGTGTTGGTGCTGCGCGTGCTGCGCCTGCAGGTGCTGCTGCTGCTGCTGGTGCTGCTGGTGGTGGTGGATCATCCTCTCTCGCTCGCGCTCCTGCTCCCGGCGTTCGTGCTCGCGCCGCTCCTTCTCCCTCCTCTCTCGCTCCCTGTGGAGGAAAGAGAAAAAATGTTGCAGCAATCGATGAGGGATAGTTAGGCAGGCAACACTGGGCCAATGCCACACAGGGCAGCTAATGAGGACACAAAGTTGAATACAGTGTACCCTAATGCTTAAAATTAAAATCAGCAGCAGTCGCATCGACTAGGAACTTAACACTCACTTCTCTCTTTCTCGCTCAGCATCTTGTTTCCGCTTCTCTTCTCGTTCTCTTTCTTGTTGTCTCCTTTGCTCTTCTCGTTCTCTTTCTCTCCTCTGACGTTCCCTCTCCCTTTCCTTCTCTCTCTCACGCTCCCTTTCTCTTTCTCGCTCTCGACTTCTTTCTTCTAACACGGAAGCCTCTGACTTGTAACTCCATGGGCCAGCAGCCGTCACAGGGAAGCCAGCAGGTGCTCTCTGCAGTCTGTTGGGCAAAATAAAAATCACATGCATTAGATAAAGAAAATCATCTGTGAACCATCCCACCACTATTCGCGTCACACAATTCCAAAGTTACGACAAAAAAAATGTCAATTACCTCCATGGATCATGGATTCCTGCCAGAGGGCCAAGGGGCGCCATTTCTCTAGGACCTTGAGGAAATCCAAGAGGAAAGGGTGAAGGTGTTGGTGCGGGGAACGAAGGGGGAAACCGACCAAACGGCGAGACGGCAGATCCTGTAGACATAACGTCATGATTAGAGCTACGTACAGTAAAATATCATACAGAGACAAAAACCACACAATTCTTTTTTCAAAGAGATTTTAAAAAGCGGAGCACTACTCACCTAAATGAGAGGCCGCGGCGGCGCTGGCGAGGTAGCTGGAGTGGGAGGTGGCGGGGTCGAAGGGCGGGCGGTGCGCGGGCAGCGCGGGGTAGGCGGCGGGCACGCCCGGCATCTCGTGGGGCCGCGGGCCCTGGCCGGGGTACAGGTGGCTGGGCAGCCCGATGGGCGGCGCCCTCAGCATCTCGCCCGGGCCCGGCTTGGCGGCCGTCGGGCCCGCGCCGCCCTGGCCGGCGGCGGCGGGCAGCTTCGGGGCGTCCGCCTGCGACTTCTGCTGGTGGCCGTAGATGACCCACGCGATGCGCACGTGCATGGCGTTCCACCGGCCCTGCTTCTGTAGGGACAAACAAACGGAAGCACGTTACACCACTGCCATGTGCCAAACTACGGGTCTCCAAAGCAAGACTCAAGACTGACACGAATTTACAGGGAAGAAGTTCTGGTGTAACTGACTTAAAAATGTTAACTCTGAGAAATGCCCAACAATCGACAAGCCAGATCATGCAGGACAAATGTGCCAATGAACAAAGTTATTGTCACAAACTATTTGGGTAAAGTGCCAAAAAAGTAAAAAGTTAAAAAGAATGAGAAGACAGGAAAAACAAAACAAATGGAAACATACCGATGACTTGGGTTTTGAGGGGTCAGCAACCTGCAGCAACGGAACATGAAAATAAAACATAAGCGTTAGTGCGAATAGTTATTAAACATGCAGGTACAGGAGTGAGCATGCAAATGGCTCAAAGGAATGCGAATCAGGTGATTACGGGTTGGATGAAAAAAAGACACAGGATTACACACACATTCCAAGCCAAAAGGGCGAGCCATTCGCTATCTCCTCAAAGGTACAGAAAAAACTTATTGAGCCTCTCCTCTCAGGACAAAAGATTTTGGGATAGCCGCAATTTAAGTCTCCGGTATAATTTTGATTTTTTTTTGGCGTGGAATGTATTTGCCCAGCGGCAATTCAAACCATCTATGATGCATGCAAGCATGCTTATGAAGAACAAACCCATTACATACAACACATAGTTCAATGTGGTTCAGTAAAACTAAACAAAAAATGATGAGATTACCTTGGGAGTGAATGTTGGCAAGTGACTTGGAGGAGCAAATGGAGTTGAATTTCCTAGTGCTGTTAAAGGTGGAAGCCCTGAGTATGAAGGGTATGAACCCAAACCCAGAGTATTCTGTCGATAAAAAGGGGAGTCGATACCTCCCAACTTTGGCACATCCTTGAACTGCAAAAATAAGAAAAGTAAGATATAACAACAGATCGAAAAATAAAAGAGCCCAGTTAGACAAATAGCACAGCACAGGAAACTTACAAGTGGTGGAGGGAAAACAGACGGTGCTTGAGGAGGTGCCCCTAGCGCTCCCAGCGCTGAGGCTCCTGGATGTAATTGTGGATGTTGGTGCTGATGGTGGTGCATTTCCGTTCTCAAGTATGGCGGGGGACCAACATTTAAAGACCTATCTTGTGACGCCAAAAATCTGCTGTCCAACTCTCTTCTTAGAAGATCAGCTTGATCTGGGGCAAACAACAAAAGCAATCAGGCCAAATCCGACAGAAAACAGCAGACCGCGCGGGGTCGACGCAAACAGTGGTGATCCTTACTTGACAGCAATGACTCGGCCGAGAAGGGGGCGGGGTTGGAGCTGGTGGGAGTGGGCCCCGCCGCCGTCACGGGGGGCGGCGGCGCGAACAGGGTGCCGGCCGAGTAGGGCCCGGCGTGGAGGCCGGGGTGGCCGGGGTGGCCGGGGTGCGGCGGGTGCGGCGACGCGATGGACGCCGAGGGCGAGGCCGTCGCCAGCCCGGGCCTGATGGCGGGGCTGCTGCCGGCGGGCGACAGCTGGCTGCTGGAGTTGGAACTGCACGCACTCGTTAGCCGTTAGCACACGTCAAACAACTACAAGAAAAACAACAACACAATGACTCACCTCGGCCACGCGCCAGGTCCTTTGGGGTAGGAGAGACTAGAAGACACTGGGGTGGAGGCCGACGACGCCGAGGGTGAGGCCGCGGTCGCGGAGGCCGCCACGGCCGCCGCGCTGAACGGCGAGGGGTTTGTGGGCAGCGGGCCTTGGGGCCCCGACGGCCCGGACAGCAGCAGCGGCCCGCCCGCGTTGCTCACAGGCGTCACGCTGCTGCGGCCCATGCTGCTCACCCCGCTGCTGCTGCAAGCGCAGACAAAGAGGTTCAAGTTAGACTGCAGGGACTGTGATGTGGCCATACGCGCACTGCAGCACTGCAGGGCAGGCTCACCTGTAGCTGTCCCGCTCGCGCGACGGGCTGTGGCCGCGCGGCGAGTGGCTCCTCCCGATGAGGGGCGTCGTCACGGTGTGCATGTGGGTGCTCGAGGCGGAGGTGGTGATCACAGACGAAGAGGCATTGGTAACTGCGGGGGCCGTGCTGGTGGGCACTGCTGACGTCGCGGCCGTGGCGGGGCCCGGGTGGCCCGCGGGGTGGGCGCCAGGGTGGTGGCCTCCTGGAGGGAGGTGCACCCCAGGCAGGGAGCCGCCCAGAGCGGGGGGCGCGCCGTGCCCGTGAGGCAGGTGGGAGCCCAGCGGCATGCCCAGGGGCGAGGCCCGCGCGCTGGCGGGGTGCGTCCCGGGGTGCCCGCCAGGGTGGGCCCCGGGGTGGGGTCCGGGGTGTGCGCCGGGGTGGCCGGCGGCCGAGCCCTGCCCCGCCGCGCCCGGAGTTACGACGGGCGGACCGGAAGGCAGAGGCTGGCCGTTGGCGGCAATCACCGACGAGGCCGCGGAGGTCTTGAGGCTGGAGGAGTGCGGCGACCGCACCGTCAGCTGCAAGAAACAAGCAAAAGGGTTGTTATTGACGCGGCTCCCGCACAGTGCACCGACGGCAGGTTGGAAGGCGGGCGGTACTCACCGAGTCTGGTCGAGGCGACGCCAGCGGCGAGCTGGAAGCGACGGGGGGCAGGTAGTGCATGCCGTAGGGCGAGTACAGCGACGGGTAGTGCGGGTACCCGTGCGGAAGGCCGTAGCCGGCGGGGCCAAGCGAGGGGGCGGGTGGCGTCGACGCGGGCCCCTTGGAAGGCGCCGACGATGTCAGTCCTTTGCTCGCCGAGAGCGGCGTTGACGGCGCCGTCGTCATGGCCAGCATGCCGTAGGGCGGGATGGGCGGCCTCGGCGACGACCTGGACGACATGATGGAGGTGGGCGGCTGGTGGGGTTGGTGGGACGCGGCCGTCGTCGCCAGCAGCGTCGTGTGGCCGGGCAGGCGGTTGGCCTGCGTCGAGTGGGGTGGGTAGTGCGGTCCGGTGGCGGGCGGCTGGTGCTTGCTGGTGGCCGGGCCTTGCTGGCCTGGCTGGTGGGGCTGGTGGGGCGGCTGCACGGCCTGCCCCGGCGACGACATGTGGTGGGGCGGCGGCAGGTGCGGTGAGGGGTGCCTCTGCTGGCCGAGGTGGCCCATGGCGCCTTGCTGCGGCTGCGACAGCGCGCCGTGGGGGTGTCCGGGGTAGCTGGCGGAAGGGTGCCCCGGGTGGCCGGGGTGCCCGGGGTGCCCCGGGTGGCCGGGGTGGCCGGGGTGCGTCGGCGGCTGGGCGGCCGGGTGGCTCCCAGGGTGGGGTGAACCCGCCGCAGGCAGTCCCGGCGTCGGGTGGCTGGCAGGGTGGCCGGGGTGCCCACCAGGGTGACTGGGCTGGTGGCCCGGCGGGTGGCCCGCGGGGTGCTGGTGGCCGCCAGGGTGGCCCTGCATGGAGTGCGGCGACGGCGAGTGGTGGTGGTGGGGGCTGGGGGACGCCGTGATGGTGTGCGGGTGTGGCGGCGCGTGGCCGCCGGGAGGGCCGTGGTGGCCCGAGTACAAGTGTTGCGAGTACGGGTGGAAGTGGTGCTGGTTGTGGTGCTGCCCGTGGTGCTGCCCGTAGTGTGGCGGCAGCTGGTGTTGCGCGGACAGCATGGGCGGCGCCGCGGCCGACGGCGAGGGTAGGTGTGGCGACGGCGCGCTCTGGTGCTGTGCGCCGGATGACGGCGCAGGCGACCCCGCGGCGGCGGCCAGAGGCAGAGGCAGGGACATCGGCAGCGACGGTGCGGCGGCCGGAGGGGTGCTCTGCGCCGCGCCCACGCCCGCGGGGTGCTTCCCCGGGGCCAGCCGGGGTGGGATGGGGCCATTGGAAACCTGCAGACAAGCGCGGAAGTTAGTGGCTGGTCCAGGGTAGAGGCGTAGCCCGGCGTAGCCCGGCGTAGCGCAGTAGAGCGAGGCCACAGAGTACTCACTGGAAAGGTAGGCGGAGGCTGCGCGGGCGCGGCTGCTCCGGCGGACGAGGGCGGCGGCAGGCCGTGCGGCGACTGCGGCGCCGTGGCGCTGGCCGAGGGCGTCGCGGCGGTGGCGGTGGCGGCCGCGGTGGCCGCCGACGCCGGGGCGGGCGACGCGGTGCCGTTGCTGGTGGCGGCGTGGCTGGCGGCCGCTCCATCATCTGCGGCCAAACGAGCGCATTCTCAGCAACAAAAACGGGGCCAAACGAACAGCCCGTCGCGGACAGGAAAGCCAACTGCCCGCTTCCTGCCGCCCGGACGGAACACAAAGCGGGCGGGGGGCTGGGCAAAGAAGCTGCGCGGATCGTTACAATTAGTATCTTTTAAAAAATTACAATTGTCGGCCGCTCAACACCGAGGCTGGACCTTCGTCAGGGCCTCGGCTCGGCAGACAGACAGACAGGCAGGCAGACAGACAGCCGCCAAGCCGGGCAGACGATAAAAGGCCGCCGTCGTAAGTGACGCGAGAATACGTTCGGAGGGGGGATTACAAAGCTCGGTAAAGTTTTACGGAGTTACAACAATTAAAGCCCCACGGCCGTAGAGATAGGGTGCGGCCGACTTTACGACGGCCTCGCGATAAAAGCAAAGGCGGCCGCTAGCGGCGCCAGCGCCCAGCGCCGCGGCCGATTCGGCCCCCTCCTAAAGCGGTCTCTTTCCCCGCCAGGGTGACGCGGTCTCTTTTACAGACACACCACTGCTTGGGCTGGAATCCGCGCCAGCGCGTTCCAAAGCCGCGCGTCTCGTGCACTTGGAAGCGCGCCGCTCGAGAACGTTATCAACAACGAACTCGCAAGCGATCCACCAGGAAGCTCTCTTTCCTCCACGTCTACCGGGTTCAGTAGATACTCACGTTTTCTCCCTCCGGGCGACGCGTAGATTGAGGACGGGTCCGTTCCCTGCAACACACAAGCAAACGCGAAACTATTAGCGACCGGTGTTCAATCAGCGGAGGCGCAGCAGAAGAAGTGGAGCTGTGGCGGTCTAGCGCCGGCGGGGTAGGCCAGCGCGGCCGTGCTCGACGCGGGTGCGGCCGCGTGGCCTACCCCGCCGGGGGCTAGCCGCCCAGCCAAGCCCGCCCGGGCCACCCGGGCCGCCGCCGCAACCAATCTCTCGCGGAACCGAGTTGGCTCAACTGGGGCGCCAACCGCCAACCCCAGCGGGGCCCAACCCCGCCTGCGGCCTGCGGCCCCTGCGGGGGGCATTGCCCCCGCCGCGCCCCGCCACCACACCGTCGGGGGAAGGCTGAGTGTTGGGATGCCCCTGGATGCCCCACCATCAATGCACGGCTTGACGACCGGCCATGAATAACACATAGCCGGGACCGCGGCCTCCGCTAGCGGGCCGACAGACGGCCGGCCAGACAGGCAGACAGACAGGTATGTCTCGAGCGCGCCGTGGGGAAGACACTTATGTCCCCCATATCGGGAATTGGCGGTGCGACCCCGTCCAGAGGGGAGGAGGAGGGGGCGCGGGGAAGGAGAGTGGGAGGGGGAGAGAGGGAGGGGGAGAGAGGGAGGAGGAGAGAGGGAGGAGAGAGGTAGAAGGAGAGAACGCTAAGTGAGTCGTTGCGAGAGACAGCGGAAGCCGCACTCCGCTGGTCTGCTGCTGCGCCTGGCCGACTACTGGTGCTGCTGCTGCCGTGCCTGCCTGCCGTCCGGCCTGCTCCTGCCTGCGCTGGGCTCCTGCCTGCGCGCCTGGTGCGCTTGCCGGCTGCTGCAGCCGCTGTGGCTGACACCATTAGCTCACCACGCCCAGCAATCAAGGGGCGGACAAAGGCCATTCGGGGCGGCCTCCCCCTGGGGTCCCCGTGGGGTCTCTCTGGGGGTCCCCTCTGAGGCCCCCTTTGGCCGGGGCCCCCACCGGGGCTCCCTCTGGGGCTCCCCATCCGGCCGGCCAAACAACCCCGGGCAGCGCACTGCAGCGGGGACGCGCGAAACCATTCCAAAACAATCCACATCGCGCGAAACAACAGCATTTAAAACAAACTAGGGGCGGCAATCTCGCCAACAACTCGGTGCCCCGCCCCGCCCCCAAATCACTGCGGAGAGAGAGACGGACAGAGAAAAAGAGAGAGCGCGGAATAAATCCGGGAATAATCGAAAACAAAAAGGGAAGCGAGAGCGGAGCCGATTAAAAAAGTTTGGGTCAACGGGCGGTGACGCGGGCGGGAGTTCGCGTGCTCTACTCCACACTCAGCGGCGCAAGCACACTGCCATCGCGCACTCATTAAAACATTAAAGCATCCGACGCGCTGCTCCGCACTCTAGAGTCTCTGCAGTTGCATGAAGAGGGCGCGGCAGCGCAACGGCAGGGAAAGAAAAAAAAAGTAAAAATATTCCGTGACGACCCGCTAGAGCGCGCCACTCCCGACCAAGTACGAGAGAGAGAGAGAGAGAGAGAGAGAGAGACAGAGAGGCACCATTACACGCACCGGTCCCGCCGCAGAGAAGGAAAGAGCGACAAAAAAAAATGAATCGCACTTGAGAGCGAAATCTCCCAAAACAGCTTCAAGTGCAGGAAGTGAATGTGCGCGGGTTCATCTCTAGGCACGTTCCTCCCCTCAGAGAAAATCCACCACACGCACAAAAAGTCTCGTCTTCTTTTTTTTTTATCTCTGCTCCTTTTCTTTCCTTTCCTTTCTTCCTCGCCCCCGCGCTCCGGCCGGCGAGAGCGCGGCCCCGCGATGACACATACTTTATTCCAGTCTGTTACACACACAATCTGCCGTATTACTGGGCCGGGGCGGGCCGGGGCGGGGCGGGGCTGCGGGGATGGCTCGGCGCACCCTCTGCCACGACCCTCTATTCCAGGACCCTCCGCGCGGCCTGGCCGAGGCCGGGCCGAGGCCACCGTCGTGTCCTCAGGTGCGCACCACCATCTTTTCATTTCTTTATCCCGCTCCCTCCTGCTCCCCTTGCAGCACGCTCCGGCCCACACACACACACACACACAAAACGGGGCATATCCTTCACCGGCTCAAATAGCAACAGGCCCACTTAGGGTTCGTCCCAGGGCTCGTCGCAGGGCGCGGCGGCGGCGCGGTGCGCGTCCCTTTTTATTCGGGCCGGGTGGGACGAGGCGAGACGAGGACGCCAAAAAGGGCTTAGGGAGGGTGGCGTCCCACCCGGCAGATCCAGGACACGGAGGCCCGTAAATCCCGGAAGATCCCGAGGGATCCCCCGCGGGAAGCCGTCGCCATCCCCGTCGCGCCGCGCCCCGCGTCGACAGCTCCTTTGACGCGAGGAGCATCACCTCACACCGGCCGCGGGGCGTGGCGGGGCGCGGCGGGGCGCGGCGGGGCGCGGCGGCCCCCCAACCCCCTTTTCTTGCTCCGCGCTCCGCACGCCAGCAACTCGACAGACACGCGATGCCTCTGCCAGAAAAATGATGATAGCGTCCTCGTCGCGGCGGGGGTGAGGCCCGGCGAGGCCCGGCGAGGCCCGGCGAGGCCACGCGGAAGGACGCGCCAACGCACACATGTAAACAGTTATTCACTATAGATTCGCCCCGCCATCCCCCGCACACGGTCCCCTTTTACATGATGCATGCGTGTATGTGTGCGTGTGTGCAGCAAGCGGGTGGGAGCACGACCAGGCGACAAATCTCTCTCTCTCTCTTTCCCTCGCGCTCTCTTACACTTTTACACGGACACACACGCTCACACACGCACACACACGTCGCTTGCCGCGGGGCACCGGCAAGACAGCACTATGAGAAATTCAGGCGTGCGCTAGGATCGCCGCCACGCCGCCATGCATTATGGATCGGCCACTGAGTGGCAGGTGCAGCGAGCGCGTAATTAGTACAGGACAACGAGTCGGGTAGAAACAAGGAAACAAGTCGGCGCAGGGACCAAATTCTAGACGCGTTTTGAGCTCCAGAGTCGCTAAATGGGACTCGAACCGAGCGTGTGACCCAATGCATTGCTCTCCGAACGAGCAATCCATTGGTGGGGTCACACGTTCGGTTCGAGTCTCATTTAGCGACTCTGGAGCTCAAAACGCGTCTAGAGTTTTGGCCGCCTCCACCGGTCTTCTGGCCCACTGTGCGGCGCACTACGCAACCAAAACCCCTTTGCGAAAAACACGCGTTGGACACACTAAACCTTCGTTTTTGTTGCAGAGCCGACAGCCCCACCTGTCGGCCCCGACACCGAAAAAACAAAAGAGGGCCAAAGCCTCATTTATTTTTAATAAACCCGACGGGGCGCAATTTCAAAGCATGCCATCAATTACTTCACTTTTCCGGCGAGATGCACTGTTGCGCCGAAAGCGGCCGAAAGCTCCAAAGGGATTAGGGTGCCGCAATATCTCGGCCAGACAGCCTCAAAAGAATTTCACGGGGCCAAAAGAAAAGGGAGAAAAAAATTATAAAAATGGGATGGAATTATAAGACGGTCTGCCTCGGATTGCCTCGAGGTGCAGCGACTTGCCCTGTTAGCATCCCAAGGCAGTCTCAAAGCCGCGAACTCTAGCAAAAATTAGGCGAGACAATGACGGAGAAAAGGGGGTGCTCAGGACAATAAAGTGTAGGTACAGACAAGTGAGCCGCAAATGCCGCATAACCGGTGCCATAACAATCAACAAAAGCATCCCAGGTTAGCGAGGGATTAGTCTCTGCATACTCATTAAAATGTATGACACGACCATTACGGGGTTCAAAGCCACCGGGCTTTCCCATCTCCCCCTCACCTCTCGCAACGCAAAACTTTTTCCACTTTATTTCATATTTAAAAACAGGCCGGCGCCGTTTTATCATCATTGCTAAACCGTTTACGGCGGCTGTCGCGGCTGGCCGCAAACACGACACACGTTCAGCTCGAATAACGCCGCACCCCGATTGCAGCCATTTTTTTTTCGCAAAACCCAATTTTACGCGAAGATACCCCCGATTGCATTTTCGCTAGCCGCCACACGCCAGAACGGATTTTCGTTTCAACGAAAATGATTCCACTGGAAGAGAGAAAAAGAGGGGGCCGGCCTCCAATATATATGCAAAAGAACAGCACGGCGCCAGGGCCAGGCCGGGCGAGGCGACGGGAAGGCCAGGCCTGGTCATCGACAGGCAGCCACCCCGATGAACCGCTTGGCGCCCATTGCCACGGCAAACTGTCAAACGACCCTCCCCCGGTGCTCACCCGGAGAGAAAAAAACAATGAAAAAGGAGCGGGCGTTTTAAAAAATAATTATTCCGGGCCGTGACAGCTTTCGCGTCGAGTCCATCCACAATCAACACAGAGTGCCTGTCTTAATTAATGGAAACGCTCCCGCCAAATAAGTCTATTAGCACCACCGGAGCGGCAGTGGAACGTGAAAAAAAATTGTTGTAAAAAGAAAAACACGCTAGAATCATGCTGTAAACGTGCAGCTTTAACTACCCGGAACTTGCTGAACGGATCCATAAACGTAGCTTTGACAGTGTAGCCGACGGTGGCGGCAGGTACACACACACAGGCGGGCAGACACGCCGTGAAAACACGCTGGCAAAACACAGCGCAATCGCGGCGTCGGCCGGCCGGGGCTGGCCGGGCGATACGCGTCTGTTTGGACAGACATCGACGCCACACTGCAAACAAGCTCGGAATCGTTTGGAGCCAGGCCGTGCCGGCCGTGCGAACCGCGTGGGCCTTTTAAAAACCCTTTCCCCCGGTCTTTTCTCTCCTTTTTTTTTCGCGCGCGCATCCGCCGTTGCGGCGGCAACGGAGCGCGGCCGAAACTTGTCGGGGCATTTGTTTGCTCTCCACACAAAGACACACCTCGCCGCCCCGCTGTGCGACGCCGTGCTGCCCTGGTGCTCCTCGACCCCGGCAGGCAGGCAGGCAGGTCGACCTCGACCGACCACAACAAGGGGAGCCCAGCCAGGTGCGAGAGCCTCGCATGCAACCCGCCCGGCCCGG